TATATATATATATATATATATATATATATATAATATCTTAGTTAAAACCATGTACCAGGGGAAGGAAGAGGTCAAATATACCTGAACCTCCCAGGTCTAAAAAGATCTAAAGCTCGATACCGAAAAGAGACTTATTTTGTTCAGCTCTGGTTTAACTGTCAATCAGTAACGTGCCTTTTGATATTAGGTCGTCAAGAAATTAATGCCGCTTTTTTTTAGAACACTTTTACGATTGACGAGTAAAGGGCGTTTCTGATAAAGGGCTTGATTTAACCGTTCCAATTGCTGACTATAGATCTCTGCATTGATAGTTCGCTGTGGATTGAGGAATTCAAAATGAATTACTCTTTTGATATCTCACCAAATGCAAAGCACCACTTTCTGCGAATGGAGTCCAGGTTTTGGAGTCGGAAGTTGTTTTCGTCTAGAACTGAGCCATTGTTTTGACGTTTAATATTCGCATAGAGAATCCATTTTTCATCACCGGTGACAACTTTTTCCAAAAATGGTTCATGCGCATTACACGGCAGAAAAGACAAAGCAACGTTCAAACACGTTGGAAACGATGATCATCGGAGAGTTCGTGAGGCACCCAAACACCTTCTTTATGGAGTTTTCAGATATTCCTTAGATGTTTGAAGAGAGACATGCAATTTCAGGACCATTTCACGAGTGTGTTGCCTTGGGTTAGATCCAACAAGCGTCTTTAGAGCATCAATATCAGTTCAAACATGTCGGCCCCTACCATCACAGTTTTTAAGGCTATAGTCACCTGAATGAAAATTGCTGAGCCATCGTTGACACTTCGAACGTTCAAAACATTTCCATAAACTTCTTCGATATTCTTTGTGGCTACAAAAGCGTTGTTTTCCTTCTTGTATTGAAACAGCATTATATGCCAAATGTGTGTTTTGTCGTGTACCATCACTATAAGGGATTAGAGTATACTAAACTTTACACATTTTATAGGCTACACTAACGTGACTTTAGTCAGTTCGTTTAACTATTATATGTGATGCACGTTTTTTGGGGGATGGTTAATGAAAGTGTTCCAAAACGCGACATTAATTTCTTGACGACCTAATATATATATATGAATATGGTTGATTACAATTTTTTATAGAACTTTTCCCTGATTATAATCTTATATGCTTATAGTAAAGTCTACTTAAAATCCACCTAACTGACAGTTATACATAATTCAGTTTGCTCGAACACAATTTTATATTGCAATAATGATATGATGTAAAGATAATCAATTTAAATGCTTTCCTCTAAATGCACATGCTATTCATCTCCAACTAATCTAATAGATACTCACTTACCTTTGTGAACTCTAGTGGTTTGAGAGGGATACTTTGAGGGGTTAACTGATATCGGATCTGATAACCAACTACATCTGGACCTTCTCCTGGTGGTGACCATCTCAAGTGGACAGTATTTGAAGTCACAAGAGTGATGTGGACGTCTTGAGGTATCATAGGCTGGACGTCTGTGCCTTCCTCCATGCACTGAAATATCCATTAAGAAATACACTTGCTACTCATATCAACAAATGAAATGCTAAAATGAAAATATTCATAGTCAATCCGTTAGCCCAGTTTTAACTAAGAAAGTGTAATAGTTTGTTCTTTTTTTTATTAATTTTGTTTATCAGAATCATTGAAGTCAAGCTATCCAATTCGAAACAATATAGCGAACTGTTGTCTCATATAAGATTTTCTCAAACATTGACTCTGCATAAGCAACATATCGATTTTGTTAAAATAAATTTATCTAAAATATATAATTTCAAAGTGATTTTTCATACAATAAATATTACTCAAACAGGGTTTCGATGTATATTGCCAAGTATATACATTATCTCTAAAATGTGTAGCTTTTCGCTTAAGAACCAACAAATAATTTAATGTATATATACATATACACAGTAGTGTAGGAAGGAGTTGCAAAGTGGGGTGCTTGGCTGGACATGCAGATAGTATAATAATATAATTTACAGTTGCTATACAAGTTAAATGCATAATAGTGGGGGTGCTGTAGCACCCCCGGTTCCAACGCTTCTGATATATATATATACTCAAAATTAACAGTACATATTTAAAAAGGTAAAGGTAAAGCAAATTGTTAAATTATCAGCTGTATGATTGTTTGTTTGTTACGAATTTCGAGCAAAGCTACACGAGGGTTATCTGTGCTAGCCGTCCCTAATTTAGCAGTTGAAAGGCAGCTAGTCATCACCACCCACTGCCAACTTTTGGGCTACTCTTTTACCAACGAATAGTGGGATTGACCGTCGCTTTATAACAGCCCCATGGCTGAAAGGGCGTGCATGTTTGGTGTGACGGGGATTCGAACCCGCGACCCGCAGATTGCGAGTCGAGCGCCCTGACCACCTGGCCATGCCGGGCACAGTTGTAAGAAGCAGCCTTGCACTCGAAATTGTAAATATTCTAAGCATAACAGTGGTGTTGGTGTATCTAATATATAACCGAGGAAATGAAAAAAGCAGAGCATCTCGTCATGTTACAACATTAATAATAATAATAATTAAATAAATGTATGTGTGTGAAATATAAAAAATGTGATGGAAAACCTGATGGTATAATGATAAAGATCTCTGAAAAACCTTAATCGCTAACTGTAATAGTTTTACTAACTTCAGAGAATCCCCTTGTGAGAAATAAATCTGAAAAAAAAAGATCAAGAATATAATATTATCATATAACTGTCTGCTTTCTGTCTTTCTTTAAGGAAATTATCAATAAAAACGTAAACAAACTGATTATCTCTTAAAAGGTTCTATTTGCTAGGGACAGAAACTTTGTTTTCAGAGAAATATTATCTAGGATAAAGGAGTAATTGAAGTCTCAACTAGTTCTGTTACTCTAACTCTTACGATGCCTAAAGTAACTTTCAAAAGGTTAGTTCTGGTCTTGTCATTTGGATAAATTCACTTTGCAATTGATAATTTATTTAACTCAACTCAAAGGAAATTGATAACAAAACTGGCAAATTATGCCTATACATTGTGTATAACTTTAAATATATTAATTCTTACTTGCTTTGTTTGCTTGATGAATTTCGCGCAAAGCTACTTGAGGACTATCTGAGCTAGCCGTCCCTAATTTAGAAGTGATAAAGTACAGGGAAGGTAGACAGTCGACACCACCTACTACCATCTCTCGGACTGCTCTTTACCAACGTATAGTGGGATTGAGCGTCCTATTTAAAACGCTCCAACGGCTGAATGGTCGAACATGTTCGGTGATGGGATTTGAACCCATGATTTGAGTGTCCAAAATCACCAAACCATACTAGGCTCTTCTTACTTGCCGGGAAACTTAATCATAGTATGAAAAAGTTATCAAACTAAATTGATCTTTAATATATTGTGTTAGCAATTTGACTGCAGGCTGAAAGAGATTAAAAAAATAAAAGCCAGGTAAATTCATCTGAGTATTTAACATATTTCGCATATTATTAATCACCTAACGAGTCGTTCTAACATTAACGTAAGGGCTGGTTATAGTAGGTTAGGATCACAAGAATAAAATGATATTATTTTTGGTAATGTTCATAAAAATATTATTAGCTCCCTGCTTATCAAACTTGTTTATTGAGTTGGAATACAAAAGAATGATTTTTTTACTTTTTATTTGGGTTAGTTTGCCATTAAAGACAAGGACTGGAAAATATACAGATGTATTGTATTCTTACCAGTTGCCAAAGAGAAAAAACAAAGCAAGAACTTTTGCTACTGGTTGTCTTTTTTCTTCTTCTTCTAATTGCTGAGTTCTATAACATTTTAGTAGCGAAATGTACTCGAGAAAAAAAGTATTTGGTTTTGTCTAAATGTTTTTGTTTGTGTTTATGTGTTTAAGTGCAAAGATAAACAAAAAGCTTAGGTTGTTCACATCGCGAGTATCGAACCCAGATTTGTAGCGTTATAAACCACATGCTCACCTCTGAACCATCGGAGAGTTTTTCGAAGAGTATTTTGTTATTATTAATCTCTCACACATATGTTAACACTATATTTCGAAGAGACACTATATTGGAAGAGATGAGATGAAAGCGAAGTTCTATATTTTTCAAACTTAAATGAAACTAGACAATCAAAACCATGTATCTTGCAAACTTGGTGGAACTACAGCGACTGAAATTTCATACTGGTAGAGTAGGGGAAACTAAAACAAGTGCAACTCTGTATTCTTCAAAGTAAGAAGAAACTAGCTTGAGCAAAGTTATATACCTTTAAAGGTAAATTAACATATACCATACGGATAGTAAGACAAAGGTTAAAACAACTAATCAAATTTGTTCACAGAAAGTCTGAACAGCTCTTTTATAAACCCCTGTAAAGAAATATCCATAAATTGACAGGGAGTAAATTATGCACTTCTAGTTAGTTAATGAAAAATTATAATTTTTGATATTTCAATATTTATTACTTATTCACTTCGGAATGAATAACGTAAAACATTATAATCACTTTTGAAAATTCTAAAATTTCATTACACACTACCATAATAACCTTATAAAGGCATTCCAGCTTTTTTTTTGGGGGGGGGGTGTATTTCTACTGCTGGTGGAAGGCAAAATGACAAAAAGTTTTAAATGCTTCCTTTATTCTGAAACGCATTCATAGACAGCATGCATAATTACAAACATAATTACCTGAATTATTTTTCCTAGATCAGCTTGACACTTCTGGAGTTTGTTCTCTGAGTCAATTTCTATCTTCCCAGCACATAAACCTAAACAACTGCTGATAACACCTCGCCGCTGACAGCATGATACATGATCTCGGCCGCCGGCAGCACATCGAATAACCGTGCCAACTTCATCCAAACAAGGTAATGCCAGATTATAGAGATCTGACAAAGTTACCTATTGAAAAACACCACTAGACTTATTACAATATTAACATCTTGTATATACAAACATATTAACAATCATTCAGTATTCGCAGAGTCGTGTAATAGATATTTAAAAACTGTTTTAAGCAATAAACAACCGTAATAAAGTTGACAATTAAGAAAAAACATATACAAATATGGAGTAAAAAAAAGGTAAATATTATCATTCAGTCTAGAACTTATGATATAGTATTAAAAACACAGACCACAAAATACATGAGTAAGGTAAATTACTTATAGGTGACAAATAAATAAACCTGTGAAGTTACGGAAGTTTAACATATTGTGTTAACAATACAATTGAATTGTGATACAAAATATATTTTAGAAGTCACAGTTCCACATCTGCAATGAAGAAATTGGTTTGTTTAGCTGAAATGTGTGCAAAGTAGAAGTTTAAGGCTTCTACATAAGGCTGCGTAAGCTGTTTTAAATACTTAGATGTATATATACTTTAACTTCATGCAATAAAACATAGTATAATATAGAGCGTGAGGAATTCTCCTCTCACCAAAGATAAGAAAACTTCGTGATTAAGCCGTATATTATGAACACCGAATAAGTATAATATTACAAACGCACAAACATAAAAGCCCTGTAAAAATTCCATGATATAAAACAGAATTAATATTTTTAGCATTTATATCTCTCTTTATTTATATAGTTAGCCCTTTGTGTAGTTTTATGCTAACTGTTGAAGCAACAATTATTTTTTGTTTTTATATCAGTGTCATATGTTTCTACGTGTAAAAATCCATTTCTTGTATAGTGCGAAGAGGGCTACAACATAATCATACTTTATCTTCTTCTCTATAACGACCTTAATCCCAACTGTTTCTACGTGTAAAAATACCATTTCTATGTATAGTGCGAAGAGGGCTACAACATAACCATATTTTATCTTCTTCTCTATAACGACCTTAATCCCAACTAGTTTGGGGTCGGCCGGTAATTCTGTAAGCCGGTCAACAATTTTTACACCCGGCCCAGTCAACAACCATAGAGGACGAGCATGTTCGGCGACGGGGTTCGAGCTAACGACCCTCAGGTTGCAAGTCGAGCGCCCTTACCACCAGGCCCTTACTCATACTTTATCTATTTGAAGCAAATCTTAATCTTCAAAACGAATAGTTTATTTTTACACCCAATAATGGTTCAATAGATTGAATATTAGAAATGTAAGATATTGATAGGGAAGTAGAATGATAAAGCAAGTTAACAATATAATGCCGTATAATCCTCTACAATCTTAAATTGTCTTAGAAATGTAAGATATTGATAGGGAAGTAGAATGATAAAGCAAGTTAACAATATTATGCCGTATAATCCTCTACAATCTTAAATTGTCTTAGAAATGTAAGATATTGATAGGGAAGTAGAATGATAAAGCAAGTTAACAATATTATGCCGTATAATCCTCTACAATCTTAAATTGTCTTTCTGTTTGACAAACATATATGCAGGAAAGGAAATGGGTTTTAGGAACTAGGTACACTGCATATATGAAACCAGATATAATAATTTATTTCTAAGCTATTTCATTCTGAATATTATTTATATTGCTTTCAAGTAAAAAATATGTCATGGAAGTCAAATATTCCGCATGTTAAGAAGAACAAAAAGGATCAGTCTGTAAATTCGAATGGGGATATGGCGAATTAGGAAGGCCTATGTGTGTAATAATATAAAGACATAAAATACGACTTGCAGTCTTTGTCATATAATGTTTATGTTAATTACACTTGCAGTATTTATCATATAATGTTTATGTTAATTATACTTTCCGTTTTTGTCATGTAATGTTTATGTTAATTATACTATCAGTCTTTATCATATAATGTTTTTGTTAGTTAAACTTTCAGTCTTTATCATATAATGTTTTTGTTAATTATACTTTCAGTCTTTATCATATAATGTTTATGTTAATTATACTTTCAGTCTTTATCATGTAATGATTATACGATAAAGACTGCAAGTTTAATTAACATAAACATTGTATGACAAAAACTGAAAGTATAATTAGCATAAACATTATATGATAAAGACTGCAAGTTTAATTAACACAAGCATTATATGACAAAGACTGAAAGTTTAATTAACATAAACATTATATGATAAAGACTGAAAGTATAATTAACATAAACATTATATGATAAAGACTGAAAGTATAATTAACAAAAACATTATATGATAAAGACTGAAAGTTTAACTAACAAAAACATTATATGATAAAGACTGATAGTATAATTAACATAAAGTTTATGTTAATTAAACTTGCAGTCTTTGTCATATAATATTTATGTTAATTATACTTTAGTCTTTGTCATATAATGTTTATGTTATTTATACTTTCAGTCTTTATCATATAATGTTTATGTTAATTAAACTTGCAGTCTTTGTCATATAATATTTATGTTAATTATACTTTTAGTCTTTGTCATATAATGTTTAAGTAACTACGTTACTTTTGAATTAAAAAGAGGAACGTGAAATTTCAAATAACCACAGACAAAATATTATAATCATCCTCAAGTAGCTACATTAAGACATACAGTCCAAAACAGTGATTAAAGATGTGATATCACATAAGATTTGTAGTGGCAGTAGATTCAACATACACACACATATATATACCGTATTTTTCGGTGTATAAGACGCACGTTTTACCCCAAAATTTGATGTCAAAATCTGCTTGCGTCCTATACACCGAAGGCATGAATAATACATATATGTATATACACGATATACACAAGCCATGTGTAAATATATTCAAATAGGCATGCATAGTTTAGTTCAATTGAATGTGTTATTTATAACAATGGTAGTTTTTTCTTTTAAAAACATAACTATTTATAATGCTCCCTAAATAATAATCAAAATACATTGCAGTGAAAGCAATGAAGGTTTTGTAGGTTTTTGAACCAAACTAAATAACA